TTCCAAATTGATTTTCGATAAGATTTTTGAAATGACTAAAAGCCTGAACAGCGTCACTTTTGAGTTTGAGAGGATAAATCCAAGTGAAACGACTAAAATCATCAATGAAATGTATATAAAAACGATATCTAGAGGATGAAAGTAATGGTGCAGGTCCCCAAAGATCAGTGTGAATTAATTCCAATACGGATTTTGCATGTGAATCAGAATTGTTAAAGGGCAAAGCATGTGATTTTCCAAATTGACAAGCATCACAAAAATTTATTTCATTTGATTTGAAATTGACATTGACATTGCATTGTTTTAAATTTTGAAACAATACTCTTTTAGATGGATGGCCTAGTTTCCTATGCCATTCATCCTCTTTTGAGAAATAAAAAAGACTGACACATGACTCTGGACTTGACAAATTAGCAGAAAGAGAAATGGCTTGAGAACATGAAGGCTTTGATTGTGAAGGTTTTGATTTTGTGATGTTGGACTGATTTGAAATGGAAACAACTTCAAGCTTGTACAGACCATCTTCAAGTTTTCCTTGTAGCATCATTAGTCCTGTTAGCTTGTCCTTTACAAAACAACCAAAAGAATTAAACTCAACATTTACCTTATTATCAACTACCAACTGTGATATACTCAGCAAATTCTTTGTGATATTAGGCACACATAACACATTATTAAGTAATAAATCTTTCTGCTGAGTGGGTAATTTTAAGTTACCGAAGTGACTAATATCAAGCTTGTTTTCATTGCCTACCACAAGAAAATTCTTACCACTATAATCTTGTTTTTTATGCAGATTTCCCAAATCATTGGTGACATGATGACTTGCTCTAGTATATGCATACCATGAGGGATCTTCAAGTGTTTCAGGTGAGGCAATAAAAGCATTTGTTGACTGGTTTTTGGGCTGGTCAAACTGATTTGATGTGTTGCCCATGAAATTCTGATCAAATCGGTTCCAACAAATTAAGGCAGTGTGCCCTATTTTGTTACAAATTTGACATGTTGGTTTACTTCCATTACTTCTTCCTCCTTTTTCACTAAATCTGCCTTTGGAGCCTTTACTATAGTTGTTGTTTGGTGGTTGACTCTGCCTTCTGCCATAACTGAAGTTGGATGACTTGTTTTCAGGTCTATTTATTGCAATATGGGTTGTAACTTGGCTCAAATTGTTGCCGCCATTTTGATAGGTATTGAGTTGTTCTAACCTGCTTTCAAAGGTTAGTAGAGTAGTCTACAACTCAAACCAGGATAGTGACTCTTTGTCACGAGTTGAACCACTATTGGGGTGTACTCTGCATCAAGACCACTCAAAATTTGGGTGATTAGATCAGACAAGGATATTGGGCTACCTACTAAGGTAAGGTTGTCTGAAAAGGCTTTCATGGTGGTCAAATATTCCTCAATCTTCATTCCCCTTTTCCTTGTTTTTTGCAATTCACCTTTATAGTAAATGACTCTTGACTTGGTGTGTGCACCTGAGAGCTCCTTCGTGGCATCTCATAGCTCCTTAAAAGTCAATTTCTGCATTAGCTGAGAAGCTATGTCTGGATTCATGGTGTTGTACACCTATCCTAAGAGCAACTGATCATTTGAAATCCAGTCTTCATAATCTGGATTGGGTATTTTCACTGTACTGCCTGGTGTGGTTCTTGGCAGATATTCAGGAGGGCAAGGCTTTGTGCCAAAGATATAGCCAGCTAATTTGTGGCCTCTAATAACAAGTAGGACCAGTGTTTCCCATAGAAGATAGTTGGTTTGGTCAAGTTTGATGGAACTGTAGGGAGTAAGTGAGATTTTGTTTGAAAGTTGCAAATCGGATAAAGAAGATGCATGGTTCACTAGTACTTGGTGATTTACTGTTGCTCGGAATGTTTGGAGGAGTAGCCATGAGGGTGATGGGTCAGCGTTTGTTTTTGTTATTGTTGATGGCATTGGCCAAGATCTGCTCTGATACCAAAACAAAATAAAAGGCTTTTAGAGATAACTTCTCAGATTTTGTTTGCTGAGATTTTATTCAGATTTATAGCAACATTACACCATGATCAGCAACTACCTAATCGTGGATAGGATATAAGAGAAAGTGCATGCTGATTTAATGCTACAAAATAGGAACAACTGAAGACTAGTTCCACTCAACCTCAACAATAACCCATGAGCACACGTTGCTTAAACGTAGGCTTTGAAGACTGAATCTTGAACTTGTCAAAGGTTTATCCAACTGCTTTAACTCATCTAAATCTAATGGTGGCCTGAAAATTTAGGGAAGCAAAGTGAGGGGAAAAGTAGTTTCTGGGGAAGCCATTTTTGTGCTTTGCATTTCTTGTTTTGCTGCAGGGTTACTTTTAATTTCCAAAATAAAGGTAAAGATGATGAACAGGTTCTGATCAAACTTCCAAAGCATGAAACCAAACTAGCAGAAGTATTAATGATTCATGGATCATGATGGTAACTACTTGTATATGTGTATGACAAGAATTTTTTTTTTTTTTTTTTTTTTTTTTGTCATCGGAGGTGTCCGAGCCAGTTTGCACGTACCTCAACTAATCCATTAGGGTCATAAAGTTGACAGTCGGGTAAATCCTCTCAGTGGCCACCCCTATTAGTAACCTAAATGGATCAAACTCAAGACCTCTTAAGTAATACACCCAAGAGTCTTAATTGACCGTTGGACCATCCAGTGGTGGTTTATGACAAGAAGTATTCCCTCCTTCAATTGACGAAGCGAGAGTCACCCCTCATAACGCCAAGGTCTTCGTGTTGATCTAATTGAACCTGGTCGTGTCATTTGCTCCATGAAATTCTTCTAATTTTTGTTTATTTAAATAATGATGAATCATAGAAAATTAAATTTAATCTTCTTTTTTACTTCGTGAAATGAATTTTCTTATTTATTTATTTATTTGAAAGCTTAATGTTTAAGATTATTATATATAGTTGTGGCCTTTTTTTGATGGTTTATTTTGAAGAATGGTTGTAATCTCTTCCTCTCTTTGTTATATTACCTTGCGTTTGGCACACTACTTTCCACTATCTTATTCCATTATTCTATCCTAAGAAACCAAAAATGCATTTGTTTTAATATTTTTCAAGATCCAATCATATTTTATTCAACTCAAAACATTAACAATTACTTTTCTCAAAAAAAGTTTTAAAAATAACAAAAAACACCCACACTTACCCAAGCCACTATCATCTGCCAGTAGCCATCTTTGCTGCTACTGCCACCACCGACCTTCGGCGTCGTAACAACGCATGATAGCCAGATTTGGCCGATTGTGAGCCATCCCGACAGCTTTCGACCACCGTCCGACGATAGTGGCCAGTTGTTGGCAATAGTTGGGTGGGTGAGGATTTTTTGTCAATTTATAAACTTTTATTGTAGGAAGTATTTAGTTAAATTAACAAATTTAGAGAGTTAAGACAATCTACTGACTCCATTTGATTCACTATTTTGATGCTTTTTAGAATAGTATTTTGAAAAAAAAAAGTAAAGTTGCGTTATCTTTACAAGAAAAATAATTATTAATGTTTTGAGAATTGAATAAAGTATAATTGGATTTTAAGAATATTGAAACAAATTCATTTTTTTGGTTTTTAAGATAGAATAGTGGAATATGATAGAGATATTAGTGAACCAAAGGGGCCAATATTTTCAGAAATTATTTTTAAAAAATGTATCAAAAACGTTTTCTGAATAATATCCTATTTTCTAATAATGCTAATTAGAATAGAATATTATTCTAAAACACTAACTAAATGGAGTATTTTCGTAATCGACTTTCCTTTATGCTAAACTCTTATCTTGATGTAAGTATCTCTTCCTCTCTTTATGCTAAAGTCATCACCATCTGATGATAAAATATGAAAATGATAAAATAAAGATTAATCCTATATATAATAACAAAATATAAATGATAAAGATTAATCTCCAAAAAGGGAAGTAGTTGGCCAAATCAAATCTCACCTAACATGATCTCGTTAAAATAGAAACTAAACTGTTGTGTAATTCTGTGGAGGAGTTACAAAAAGTGAAGAAGCTAGCTACATAAACCAGGATCATCAGTCTGGGAAAGAGACTTTGATTTTTACAAAATTTAATTGTCCAACTCATCCCTAGTGTTTACTAAGAGCAAAGTTTAATTTCTAAGAACAACTCTCCAACAACAAAAAATGAGAAATATTGTTCAGATTTATCTCAGTATACTTGGGTGTCAATATTTGTATGTTTGAACGTCATGGGAGGATTGAATGTCAAGCGCATAAGTAGTTCTTTGGACTGATATGGATTTGATTGATTGATTTTAGCGTCCGAGGGCTTTTGCAGTGGCACCCTCTGTCAATGAAATATCGTTAATTTTAACTACTGAATGGCATATTAATCTTTACATAAATAAAAAATTTCCTCTTCGCTTTCTTCTTCGTCTCTCTCCTTCCTCTGCTTCCTAAGATCTATAACAAGAGCCGAATCCACCACCCGCGTCGACGCCCGATCTTGATTTCGGCTTGAAATGGCCGCACGTGAGGCCCCAAACACCGCCGCAAGGGCTGGCCAGCGTTTGAGGTTTGACGTCTGGCAAAAGCGCCACCATAAAAGCCTCGCATTTGACCGGGTGTTTTCGCTTGATAGTGATTGGATTAATGGCTCTCAGTGATGGTTATGGTTGTTTAGAATAAAGAAAGTTCATCGAGGATGAAGAAGAAGACGTGTGATTTTTCAAATTTTTTGTTGCTTGTGTATGGAGATTGGCGATAAGACAAAGAGTGATTATGCCATGGCTGCCCAAATTGGCAGCGCTAGGATTTCTTCGAAGAGGAAGAAACCCGTTTTCAAACCTGCAGGGATTTGTAAAGTTTAGGGGGCCCGATCAGATATTTTCCTGTAAATTCAAAGTTTTTAGTTGACTTAATTGTGTTTTTGGTAGTTTAAAATTTTCGATTACTACTAGTCTACAAGGAAGTTATCATTGCGGGGGCAAACAAGCTCAACTCAGTCTTCAATGGCGTCTTCTTTTCTGGCCGCCGTCGCCGGTCAAGGCAAATATGATGTGTTCTTGAGTTTCAGAGGCGAAGATACTCGCAAGAACTTTACCGATCATCTCTACGCTGCTTTACATCAGAAAGGAATCTTCACATTCAGAGACGACGAAGAACTCGAGAGAGGAACGGAAATTTCATCGGAGCTCTTGAAAGCCATTGAAGAATCGAGATTTTCGATTGTAATTCTCTCGAAAAACTATGCTTCTTCCACGTGGTGCTTGGATGAGCTTGCGAAAATTGTTGAGTGCATGGAGGTGAAGGAGCAGAAGGTTTTTCCGGTTTTTTACGGCGTAGATCCATCGGAAGTACGGAAGCAGACCGGAGAGTTTGAAAAAGCTTTTCGTAAACATGAAGAGGAGATCGATGAGGAGAGAATTGAACGGTAGAGATCAGCTCTCGGTTGACTTGGCAGAATCTCTGGTTATCATTTGCAGGACAGGTAAGAAGAGAAGTAGATGATTTTTTTATTTTTTTATTTCTGTGTTTTGAGTAGTTTTATACATAAATTTAAATTATACTGCTCACATCCATATGATTAAAAATTTTTAAAGTTATTTTAATAATCAATTTAAATTCATAATTCTCAAAAAAAGCAACATATTGAATACAAATTTAAAATTAAATTCTTGATTAATAATTTGAAGATGGATTAATTAGAAATTTAATTTATAAAGTTTCAATAGTGGTAGTATACTAAATTAAAGAAAGAATATTAAGAGTTTCAAATGTTTTTTAAAATAACTTTAACAAGTTGTGATGCCCTTAGTTAGGGATGGCAAACGGGCAGGTCAAAGTTGGGATCGCCATCCCCATCCCCAAAATAAATAGCATCCCCGTCCCTATCCTTGAGTCGGACAATTCAGAGACGGGGCGGGGATCCGGAATGGGGATCAGGTGTTCACAAGGATCTGATCCCCAAATTTAAAAAATAAAATTATTTTATTTTTTATTTTTATAATTTATAGTAACTTTTTTTACAAAATATTAAGTTTTAAGAACTCTCTTTTCAGTTTAATCTAAGTCATATATGTGAAATAAAAATTTGTTTACATTCAATGTTACTAATTATATTAATATTTATATTCAACATTTCAAATTATGCACTAACATACATATTTAAAAGTCTTATTTTCTAATTGTACAAGAAAAGAAACTAATAATTTACATTGAAGATTATTGAAAAAAAGAAAATTCATAATCACATACATGCACAATATTTATATAAAATTGGACATGCGCACACATTTTGGATAGAAGTTTCCATATATACTTCCATTAGAATTATAGTTTAAGTTTTTAAACACAATTAAATTCAAAAAGTTTAATTGTTACTAAGTTGTCCGTGTTAATCACATGTATATCAATTAAAACATATAATTTTTTTTTTAATTTATTAGGAAGGTAGGTTCATTTTTTTTTTTTTTTTTTTTTTACCTTTTTTTAATGATTTGGAATTAATTATTGACATCTTAATACAGACTAGAATAAAACATATTTTTAATTCATGATTTTTATTTCTTAGTATGAAATTTTGAGTATGATATTTTATAGCATTTATAAATAAATAATTGTTTATATATCTACAGTGTTCTTTAAATATTAATAGGTCTAGTTCCTTTGCAAGAACAACTCCTTTCTGAAGTCATAAAAGAAAGAAATTCACAAATAAACGATTATCAAGAAGGAATTAATTTGATAAGTAGTCGGCTTTGTAGGAAAAGAGTTTTTCTTGTTCTTGATGATGTTGATCAATTAGAACATTTGCTTGTAAGCCATGGAATAAAATGTATATTCAAGGTTGGAAGATTGAAAAATATTAATAAAGCTCTCAAGCTCTTTCGTTCAAAGGCCTGCAAAAAAAAAAAAAAAAGACACCCTCTGATAAGCATGTTGAGCTCTCCAAAAGTGTCGTAAGTTATACACAAGGACTTCCATTAGCTCTTGTAGTGTTGGGATCCTATTTGTGTAATAGAAGTGTGGAGGAATGGACAGTGCCTTGGATAGACTACGGGAAGTTCCAAATGAAAAAGTTGCAAAAGTGCTAAGAATAAATTCATCATCATAAAAAAAACGGAGAACTGCTATTTGGGATTGTAATATTGTTATAAAATAAAAAATATATTATACTAATTAATGTAAATGATATGTGTAGATGCAAAAAATCTACAATTATGTAAATAAAGTCTGATCCTGTGAGATTGAGGCCACTGACAATGTATTATACCTACACAAAGAGCAAACAAACGCGGAGCTTATTTGGACATCAGTGTGGTGTCTACCATAAATACTCCGACGCTCAAGTTAATAAGGATGAATAAGACAATTTGGTGAGGGTAAGGAAATGAGGGGTTACTAGAGGCCAAGTCGGAGACTAAAACCATGACGTAGTAGGATAGCTCTTAGAAGTAAGAGCATGTGTGTAGGTAGGTAATGTTGAGGCTATATGCCTAAACATGGGAGTGACCTTTGTTTATATAGTAATTGTAGGATCTTTGTATCTTGATAGGACTCTGAATCCTTAAGGGAAGAGATCTCGTGAATAAGAAAGAGCATGATTCACTTGACTTGATAATAACAAGAGTCCTAATTTGCCTAAGATTCATAATCTTGTCATGAGCTCTGATGCTGATTCAATCAAAATTTGATCTCAAGGTTGGACGGATATTGTGGAACATTATTGTCTAAGCCTAATAAGGTCTCATATGATTTTAAACTCCCACAATATGTCAAAATATATAGGATTACCATATGAATTTGTAAGGAATAGTTTATATAATTAGTTTTTTTTAATGTAACATTATTATTATTTATTTAAAAAACCTGAGTTGATGCAATCACAATTGGGCCTCATTGGGGTTGGAGGCCCAGCCCAAAAGTAGTTTTAAGTAAAATTTTATTTAGATATATTCTTACAAGCATTAGTGAAGGTAAGACGTACTACTACGTAGACCGTTTTTTTTTTTTTTTTAAGAAAGTAGTATAATATATTAAGATGCATATAAAAAATTCACAATAATAATATACAAGCTAAATAATGTAATAATTTGAAATACAAAACTTAGCTAGATAAAAATCTTTTTGGGAAATTTAATGAAAATTTTGAGTCATTTTGTTTCTATTAATAGTCAGTTTGAGTGGGTCATGCCATTTTCTTTCAAGGTTACTGTGTAGAACACTGGGTGGCCAGCGAAAAAATAATTTAATAATTGACTGGCATTCTCGTTGACTTAAAAGTCCTTTTTATGTCTTTTTTCACAATGTGATTTCACAAAAACAGCCTTTATCCTCCTCACCAAGAAAGACTCGTGAATACTCAACTCAGTCATCAATGGCTTCTTCCTCTCGCTGTCAAGGCAAATATGATGTGTTCTTGAGTTTCAGAGGCGTAGATACTCGTAAGAACTTTACCGATCATCTCTACGCTGCTTTGCATCAGAAAGGAATCTTCACATTCAGAGACGACGAAGAACTCGAGAGAGGAACGGAGATTTCATCGGAGCTCTTGAAAGCCATCGAAGAATCGAGATTTTCGATTGTAATTCTCTCAGAAAACTATGCTTCTTCCCCGTGGTGCTTGGATGAGCTTGCGAAAATTGTTGAGTGCATGGAGGTGAAGAAGCAGAAGGTTTTTCCGGTTTTTTACGGCGTAGATCCATCGGAAGTACGGAATCAGACCAGAAAGTTTGAAAAAGCTTTTCGTCAACATGAAGCAGAGATCGATGAGGAGAGAATTGAAAGGTGGAGATCAGCTCTTGGTCAACTTGGCAAGACCGCTGGTTATCATTTGCAGGACAGGTACGAAGAGAAGTAGATGAATTTTTATTTCTGTGTTTTGAGTATTTTTATACATAATTTTAAATTATATTGCTCATATCCACTATGATTAAAATTCTTTTGAGTTATTTTAATAATCAATTTAAATTCATAATTCTAAAAAAAAAAAAAAAAAATCAATATTTTGAATACAAATTTAAAATTAATTTCTTGATTAATAAAGAATATGATAAAAAAGATGAGATAAAAATTTTATGGGCTTTATGACATATTAAAAATATCAATAATGAATTTTTTTCCCATAAATTTAAAAAAAAAAAAATTTCATGGTAAAAAAATTCAATGATTTAATTTATAAAATTTCAATAATGGTGTTTTAAGTGACATCGAGCAAGTGTGACCTATTGAAGGATATACTGAACAAGAGCTTAAACGAGTTGTGTTAGACCTCTGTAACGGCAACTCAGATATTCAAGAAAAGTATCTGACTTGGCTAGGTGTAAAGCGACTTTTGGATGCTATCCAAAAGGCTTTTAGTCAAGGATGCACAAAGATTTTGTGTTTTATTTGCCGGATTTCAACCATTGAAGTTGTCGAGCTGGAACTTCGGAATAAATGGTTGGAAAAAGTTGAGGCGGTAATTCCTTATTGGTACCGTGAATCCCAGCCGGATCTAGATCCTGAATCATATAAAGAGTCGGACCTTGCAACTGAGTTGAGACCTGATTCAGATTGACCATGGGTGGTCAAGATGTTCTAGATCAGTTTGCGGCCAATCTGTGGGAAAAATACCCTGGATTACCTCCTGGATATGCATAGTTCGTAGCTAAAGGAACCCAAGGTGATTGGGAAAAGGCGTAAAAACTCTTTATGAAAGGTGTTAAGGAAGAAAACTTTATTTCTAAGGTGGATGGAAAACGGAAGGTTGATATTTCAGAAATTTTTACCTCGGATGTTGAACGAATCAGCAAGTATTATGAGGAAGAAATGAAGAAACAAAGGAAAGGAGAAGAAACTGGAGGATCGAAAATTACTCTAGGTCCTAAAAAGGTGGAGCTCGATGAGCTAATCTCGAGACTCGGGGAATCTGAGTTTAAGGATGATCCCCTTGAAGGAATTCGTAATCGTTTACATTCTTTCGAAGGATTCCTTAGGGAAATCTCCAAACCCGAATATAAACCTACTTATCCTACAAGGATAAGGTCAAAATTTATACCTGGGGGAATACCTAGAATGGTGGAGATACCGTCTAGCGGAAGTTTCCTAAACATCGATTATGTTACGAATGTGGCGGATGCAATCGAAGCATGGGAAACTGTTAACTGGGTTCATTTGCAAAATAAGAATTTTGGACTCAGTGATACTTATAGGTTTCTAAGATCCACACTGTAGGGAGCTGCATGAAGCTTTTGGAGAAGTCTAGAAGCTGGTACGGGTCTGTTAGATACTGTAAGGGACTTGAAGAATGTAGAGGCTATTTTTGCACTCTTCAAGGATATGCTCTGTAGAGAATTTACTGGGATAACTATTACCAGTAGGAATCTCGCAGAGGTAGTTACCTTAGAAGCTTTGACAAAGCTTAGGCTTTGTGGCATGTGTCTGTTTGAAAATTTTGTCTGTGAATATAGACGTTATTTTTATCAATTGCCTAGTGATACACAAGAAGTCATGAAGAATACTTTCTTTGCTAAGCTTCCCCAAGGATGGGATAAGGCAGCAAACGAGGCTTTTAAGCTTCTACTTGAAAAGAATCAGGTTGTTGATTCTTTGGGAGGAAGAATAGAAGCTGTTAGACAACTCGTGAGGACAAGATGTTTGAACGTCAAGTTAAATAAAGAAGCAAAAAAACTTGAGTTCAACGAATCTTCTTGTCAAAACTTAGATGGAGTGCCAGGACAATATGGTTGTGAGTCGAGGAATCCGACTAAACATCAAGATTGGAAAACCCATATGAAACAAAAAAGATCGTTTGGTAAAAGGAATTTTAAGCCGAAACGTTTTCGTAATATGGTAAAAAGACTTGTTACTAATAAACGGAATCTTCCAGATCATGGAAGGTTTATTAGGCAAACAGGGAAAGGTAGACTTAATGCTAAGGAACGCGGAGCGCGTAAGTTTTGTGCTACTTGCCCATCTGGAAAAAATGCAAACGATTGTAATTGTTGCTGGATTTGTGGTGACAAAAATCATTTTGCGGACAAATGCTCTCATAACGAAAAGAAGAAGGTAGTGGTACGATTTTTGGAAATCAACGCGAAAAGCCAAACTTTTGAATTTGAGCCAGTTTGGGGATACGAAATTGATTCGGCTGATGAGGTTTATGAATTAATTTTGAATTACTCTAAAGATTCAGATTATTCAGAGGATGACTCAAAAGATATTCCTTTTGAGGAACAATCTTCAGCGCATACGTATATTCATGCAAAAGGCTAGTAGTCTTAATGAATATCTTAGGAATAGTGGAATTGGTGATGAGGATGATCTTATCCCAATTAGAAATGAAGATGAAAACCCACAAATATTATTACAATTAATCACTAAACAACCTAGTTAATTAATTGGAGAGAAAAATACATAGATCCAGTTTTAATTAATACCTGGGTATCAATCTGCTTGAATGAACATTTCTCTTTGCTTCGAGTTTGCAATTTAAAAGTAAACAAGAGATTGAGAGAATGAATTTTTCACAAACTGAAAATATTATTAATTTTTCTCTAAGTAATAACATACATAAGCTCCTCTTTATATAGAGAAGTCCCGGATTTCAAATGAATTGAATCCGTAGGATAAAGAAAAACAAAAGTCTAAAGATGTACAAAAGTCTTAGTCATTAAAGATGACTTGACTAACAATCTAATAAAAATTAAAGACAACGACACTAGGGTCCACATGTCTTCCATGTGTCTTACAAGAAATACATCACAAACGACTAAAAATACAAAAGATAAAATATAATTACTATAGAAGTCAACATCCAATGCCTCTTTAAATTTGGGTCGTTGAAATCTGTCGGCAAAATCCTGAATGTCCACGTATTATTTTCCGCTTATTTGATACACGTTAGTGTATTACGTGTTGGACGTTTCCGGTTGTCCAAATCTCCAACCTCTTAGATTCGCATCAACCTTTGAAGTTATCCACTTCTATCAAATCGATAAAATCCTTCATAGTTTCATCTTCTTGTTGGGCTTCCTAGTCGTGGGCTAAGACCATCCTTAGAAGATCAATAGTACCTTCCATCAAGGCCTATCTTGGTAAATGGGCTAAATCAAACCCTTCTAGTAGCATTCTTAACTCGGTTTGGTTATGTTGAAAGAGCGTATCCTGGATCACTGCATGGTATTACTGTCACTATCTTATTATGGATATGGACAATAGCCAATTTGGATTTTACCAGTAGCATTTTGGCAATATGCAACCTGGTCCAATCCTCTTCTTTCCTCTGAAATTCTTCTAGTGCATAAGAACCAATTTTTATCTCACTATTTCACATAATTCGGTACCATGGTTCTCCTACAAGAAATTCTCATATCTGTACAGGCTGAATATTGTAGCTCTCTTGCAATGAGGAAGTAATCATGCAAGTGAATGTGTCGACTTTCCGATTCAATACACAGAGCGTTTGCTTAACCGCATCTGGCATATTCGGGTCCACCATTGCTTTCTGTACGTCAATTTCCATTGTATCGATCCATCCTTTATTCAAAAGATCTCTAGAATAACCTTTTCTAAAGAGTTTCCATGGAACGAACAATTCCATAGCTCCATTAGGATAAACTGCTAACCCTTGGACTAAATCTGTCAAAAGTATATTAGGTGTCATTGTCTTTAATTTTCCATTAAAAGAAAATATATTTCTTGTAAGACACATGGGAGACATGTGGACCCTAGTATCGTTGTCTTTAATTTTTATTAGGTTGTTAGTCAAGTCATCTTTAATGACTATGATTTTTGTACATCTTTAAACTTTTGTTTTTTTTATCCTACGGATTCAATTCATTTGAAATCCAGGACTTCTCTATATAAAGAGAAGCTTATGTATATTTTTACTTAGAGAAAAATTAATAATATTTTCAGTTTGTGAAAAATTTATTCTCTCAATCTCTTGTTTACTTTTAAATTGTAAACTCGAAGCAAAGAGAAAGGTTCATTCAAGCAGATTGATACCCAGGTATGAATTAAAACTGGATCTATGTATTTTCCTCTCCAATTAATTAACTAGATTGTTTAGTGATTAATTATAATAATATTTGTTATACCGGTATAACAAATATTATGTGGGTGACTTAAAATAAAAGATATATTAAACTAATTAATGTAAATGATGTGCAAAAAATATATAGAATTATCATATTGATTTGTAAGAAATAGTTTGTATAATTAGTTTTTTATTGTAACATTATTTTTATTTATTTTTTGGAATAAATTATATTTAAGATACCTGAGTTGGAGTCACAATTGGGCCTCATGGGGGTTGGAGGCCCAGCCCAAAAGTAGCTTTAAGTAAAATTTTATTTTAGACACATATGAATCTATTTAAGATATGTGAGAACAAATAAAATTTATAAAAATGCCCTATAACAGGTTATAGTTGGCTTAAATTGTACAATGTATACTGGGTTATTTTTAGGATTATGAAGATTAAAATTGATTATGAATAATTTAAACCTAGGTGAATACTTAGAAAGAGGCAAACAAGTGATGTGATACTCTTGGTAGTTTTCTAGATTTTTTTTATTAATGCCCAATTTATAAGACATTTAAAATTTCAAATAATTTATTAGCAAATATTTCCTTAAGTATATTTTCACTAATTAATCTAGTTAATGAGCTTAAGTTAACCTCTGTCTAGGCTTGATTTAATTTCACTTTCTTTTCTTTATTATTATTATTTAATGCTTTGGAATTAATTATTGACATCTTGATACTGACTAGAATAAAACATATTTGTAATTCATGATTTTTTAGTATGAAATTTTGAGTATGATATTTTTATAGCATTTATAAAGAAATAATTATTTATATATCTACAATGCTCTTTAAATATTAATAATCCTGAAGAGCTTCCTCTCACATAAAACTTATAGGTCCACCAGAGTTGTTTTGAACCGTTTTTATTGTTTGCTTATTTACCTATAAGGCTTCGAAAACCAAGTTTAGAGCAAATTAAAACTTGCCAAATTGATCATTTTTCCTCTCTCTATTACTCTTCTTTTCAGACATGAATCGCAATTGATCAAACAAATTATTGAGGAAATATCAAAACAATTAAAATCAGTTAGTACCAATAAGGGTCTTTTTGGAATGGAACCTCGTGTGCAGCATTTAATATATGGTTATTTACAAACAGAAGTGGATGATGTTCGCTTCATTGGCATATGTGGGATGGGAGGAATAGGTAAAACTACAATTGCTAGAGTTTTATATGAGACACTTTCGGATCAATATGAATGTAGCAGCTTTGTTGCCAACGTTAGAGAAGTCTCTGGATCAATAGGTCTAGCTCCTTTGCAAAAAGAACTCCTTTCTGAAGTCATAAAAGAAAGAAATTTACAAATAAGCGATTATCATCAAGGAATCAATTTGATAAGTAGTCGGCTTTGTAGGAAAAGAGTTTTTCTTGTTCTTGATGATGTTGATCAATTAGAACAATTGGAAGCATTGGCTGGAGAGCATGAGTGGTTTGGTTCTGGTAGTAGAATCGTCATTACAACTAGAGATCAACATTTGCTTGTAAGCCATGGAATAAAAGATACACATATATATAAGGTTGAAGGATTGAAACAAGATGAAGCTCTCAACCTGTTTGAATCAAAGGCATTCAAAAACAAGAAACCCTCTGATAAGTATGTTTGGCTCTCCATGAGTGTCGTAAGTTATACGCAAGGACTTCCATTAGCTCTTGTAGTGTTGGGATCCTATTTGTGTAATAGAAGTGTAGAGGAATGGACAAGTGCCTTGGACAGACTACGGGATGTTCCAAATGAAAGAATTGCAAAAGTGCTAAGAATAAGTTATGATTCCCTAGATCAAATAGATAAAAGAATATTTTTAGATATCTCATGTTTCTTTAATGGGAAAAACAAAGATCGAGTCATGGAAAAACTAGATGGTTTTGGTTTTAATTCAGCTATCGGAATAAAAGAACTCGAACAAAAATCTCTAATAACCATCCAAAATAATGAGTTGTGGATGCATGATTTGATACAAGAAATGGGTTGGGAAATTGTTCGTGAACAACATCGTGATAACCCTGGAAAATGGAGTAGGTTATGGCTTTCTAAGGATATCTTTCGTGTTTTGAGAGAAAATATGGTAAGAAATTTTTTAAGAGAATGAATTAATATACCATTATTTCAATATATGGCAGTTCATCAAGGTAACTTCTCTATTATTTTCATTTATTTATTTTTATTTTTTGAAGGGAACAGATTCAGTTGAAGGAATGCTACTGGACCAGCCTGAAGTTGAAATTGTAAACTTGAATGGTAAATCCTTGTCTAAAATGAACAATTTGAGACTGCTCAAAATCAGTAACGTGCACATTTCGGGAGACCTAGAGTACCTCTCAAATGAGTTGAGATTTCTGAAATGGCACAAATATCCTTCATATTCATTGCCTTCAAGTTTTCATGCTCAGAATCTTTGTAAACTCAACATGTGTTATAGTCATGTCGAACATCTTTGGAACGGAATAAAGGTATACATATTAATGCTCAATCTCTCTGAATGCATATCAATTATTAAGTTATGAAATCAATTTTTTGGTTCTTTGTAGTCTTTTGAGAAGTTGAAAATCATGAAGGTTAGTCACTCTTACAATCTGATTAGAACACCAGACTTCACACAAATTCCGAATCTAGAGAGGCTTGATCTTGAAGGGTGTATAAGTTTGCTTGAGGTTCACGAATCCGTTGGACTGCTCACAAAGCTTGTGCTTTTAAATTTGAAAGACTGCAAAAATCTTGTGAGTTTCCCAAGCAGCGTCTGTGGTTTGAAATCTCTCAAGAATCTGAATCTATATGGCTGCTCGAAACTTGAAAAACTTCCCCAGAACTTGGGGGAAGTCGAGTGTTTGGAGGAGCTAGATTTAAGTGGGACTGCAATAAGAGAACTGCCACCCTCTATTACTCTCTTGACACATCTTGAAAAGCTGTCTCTCCGTGGATGTAATGGGCAACAAAACAGAACATGGACTTCTTCCATCTGGTCATTGCTTTTGCCGAAAAGATACCAAGATTCAATGTGTTTATCGCTGGCTAATTTGATAGGTCTGAAGTCTCTTAGAACATTAGACTTGAGTGATTGCAATCTTTTGGAGGGAGCAATCCCCAATGATCTTTGTTCCTTAGTCTCTTTAGAAACTTTAGATTTAAGTAGAAACCATTTTGTTAGCCTGCCATCAAGAATGAATCAGCTTTCTAAGCTTAAAAATCTTTCAGTGAACAATTGCCAGAGGCTTGAGTCTTTGCCAGAGCTTCCATTTGGAATAATTTTTATTGGGGCACAAGCTTGCGTTGCATTGAAAACATTCTCAAGTCCACTAAGTCCAANGAAAAACTAGGGGATCCTGTTGGTTGTGCACCTCTGTAATTTCTACTGGTAGAATCCATTGCTCCGTAGGGTCTGCTTGATTGAACCTCGGAAGGACGCGTATGAGGCTTTAGCTGATTCTGGCAAAGAGTCCATCGAAATCGACACCACGAAGCATGCAACCAAGAACTACAATACACAAACCTCAACCACTTAATCTGGAAACCATAAATCATCAAAACAAATGATATGAACATGATCAAGGCTCGAATGAACACAAAAACCAGATCTTGATCACAAAAATCACAGCTTTCTGACTAGACCAAGCATTGATCCAAAGCAACAACGTAAACCCAGATACATAAAGCAAGATCACAAGGTAAAAGAGTGAGAACCCATCAAGAAAAACACAAGAAAACTAAAAAAAAGGGTATGCGATTTCAATGATCAAAACTGCAAAAGCTTTTCCTGGATCGAGAAATGGAGTTGTCGTCAACGAATGGAGCTGTTGCCGTCGATTGCTAGGGAGGAACGGAGCTGTTGTCGTCAATTTCCGACGAGGGAGGAAGACGTCATCGATTTCCGGCGAGGGAGTTCAGTTGCGACTTGGTGAATGCCAAATTTTGCAATTTCAGACTTAGGGAGTGGAGTTGATTGCGATTTGAGTGGGATTTCAGAGATAAATTTTCGAAGAGAAGCTGAGAAATCTGAGAGAAACTAAGAAAGAGAAGAAGCTGAGAAACAGAGAAAGGAAATCGATGGAATGGGCTGCGATTAGGGGTTTTTGAAATCATACCGGTTTATCCGCCGATCCGGTTGGACCCACGGTTCATTGACTTTATCCGAGTTTTGACTGGGTTAAAGCGGCTTAATGACCAAGAGATAGAATTTTGTTTTAACTAGATTAGATGGATTTGAGATGATCACGTATAATATGTTACATAATTAGTTTTTTTAGTGTTTAAAAACTGAATAACCAACATTTAACCTCTTTTTAAATGTAAAGAAATAAGAACCACATATGTGAAGTAATGCAGTTAATTAATTATTCTAAGTATAGTTAGGATTATGTTATATATACATGTTCATTTATTCTATCATATTCATCATCAAATAGAGTTGTTGATCATCACAGTAACGTAGTATCTCAATTGATAATGGAAAGCTCAATGGTGAAGATTGTCGTCTTGAAGATGATAATAATGGTAGTTTTAATTGTTGGTACATTGATTGAAATAAGTGAGGCTGGAGTTCCATTGTGTTGTAGATACAATCCAGAATGCTGTGAGAAGCTCTTATCTCATCCCGCTGTCAAATTCCCTACTAATAATTAATTAACTTCATGTTATGTAATTTTATATTATTAATGCTCGTATGTATGTATAATGGTTGTGAGGAAAATCTTACAACCATGTAATATTTGATGTTACACCACATTAAATGTATTTATATTAAGTGATGTAATTTCTTTACTTAATATATATATATATATATATTAACATCTATATTGTTTATAATATCTCCCATTTAGCATTGTTACTCAATATATATAATCTCTTTTGAATCAAATCCGATAGATTAGCTGCTTTTGTTAACGCATTCTTCCATCTTAACACCTTTTCTAAGCTTGCTCTTCATCACTTGTTGGGTTGTTATTTAATTAATTACATTGTAAAGTGGGAAAGATTTTTGATAAGAAAGAAGAGAACAGTTAGAAACAAGGATCAAGGAAAAGTTTTCAGCAAACAAAGCTGAACAAAAATCTCAAGTGTTAAATTAGCCCTTGTTCCTCTGCTTATCCGAAAAAGTCCTCTGCCTCTTACCGTAAGTTATATTAATTGTAAATTAAAATTACTTATGTTATAGATTTTATTAATAATTTGTATCTTACATGAAAAGAAAATAATTTTAGTTTCCTTGAAGTTTATTTTTACTTTTTAGGGAGAAGGAATTAGCTTAAAATAACAAATTTATTAAAAAATGAACTAACTAAATTAGACTGGAAGGTAATCAAATTCTCACGTAATTAACTAATGAAAGTTTTATGAAAATTATTAAAATTACTCGAAGGTTGTTGATGTAGAAATCTCTGTTTTAAAAAGGGGACCAAACCGGCAGGTTGGACCGGGACCCTGTAGCTTCTCTGGTCCGGTTCAGGTTTTAGGGGGGTTTTTATAATATTTCAAAATTATAAGGGTTAATGAATTTTATAAGAGTGTTTTGGAGATATGTCAAAAGTTTAGGGATTAATTGGTAATTTTTTTGGGGCATTTTTGAAATAAATAAGAATTTTAGAAATACGGCTTAATAAGTGATCTATCCGATGATGCATTGTGTTGTCCAGGAAGAAAAACATCATGCCAGGAGCAAAATTTAATTAAAGCAATTGGTGATATTGATATATAACAACCATCCCTCTTATTCACTTATGTTTAATTTGAAAGCAAATCATTCCATTGTGTGACTGGTTCTGATGTTTCCTTACAGAATAATACTACATATACATCATTCCCATACAACATTTTTCATACAACATTATGTGGTAAGATGTGACTGGGTGAAAGTATAATTTTAACTTTAAAGTTTAATTTTAACTTTAAATTAGTCAATCATATCTTGCCACATAATGTTGTATGAGAAATGTTGTATGAACATGATGTATGTGTAGTATTACTCTTCCTTAAAATGCAGAACTAAGGACATTCAAAAGGCTACAGCAATCAAGCACTAACTTATCAATGGCTGAAACTTCATTCAGAATATTGAAAGAAAGAAAATTGATGCTGATGAAACAAGTTCTCTCAGTGTCAGGTTTTCACATTTCCTCGATTAAATTTCGCTATCTAGCATGCTCATTCCATGATTTGTACTTTCTTGTCACCACAATGCATCATCGGATATGCATTGGATAATGTCTATCATCTATGGCAATTTATTTTCAAGAAAGCACATTGCAACAAGGAAACAGAAATATAGACCTGAGGAAGCTCACCAAGCAAATGTGAAAAACTAGACATTGAGCACTTGAGCGCCAATGAAGTTTCAACCATCCACCCAATTGAATTTGGTCCTGCATAACTTTTAATGCCCGAAAATTTGATGATTCTTTGTTCCTTCTTTAATCAGAATAGTAGATACGATGTGGTAGCATAAAGGGTAAGTATAACTAATTTGACTTGTCCATCTCCTTTCAATTTTAGATTCTTATATGAGTAATACTATATATACAACATTTTCATATAATATTTTTCTTACAACATGATGTGGTACAAGATGATTGGGTGAAAATTTAATTTTAATTTAAAATCAACCAATTATCTTTTACTACATTATGTTGTATGAGAAATGTTGTATAAAAATGTTGTATGTATAATATTATACTTCTTATAGGAGTCCCTAGCTATGGGTGGTTATTTTTATACCTTAGGTTTAGGTTTTGTTAAGGTAATCATATTATGAAATGATCTTGGTCCATTTTTGGGACCAAAAGTTGAAATTTTAAAGAAATAATGCACTAATTTTTTACTCATAAGTCGCTAAATTTATCTTGTTCTAGAATATAAATAATGTTATTGTGATATTGGTTGATGATGGTGCTTTGCGGTTGTGCTTCTATCTATGGAGGCCTTTCACTTTTGAATTTTTTATTAAATTTTTTTTTTTTTTAAAGAATATTATATGTTGAGGAAGAAATGAGTTTTCTAGACCAACTCAAACCCACTCCAAACCCAACAAGTTCAACCCAATATCGACCTAAATTTTTATGGGTCAAGCCCAGTTGAGTTGGGATGGGCAAGAACCAGCCAGCCCAATGGATTCTCTTACCATCTGAACTAAAATGTTCATTTCATTTTCGGAAAAAAACTTATTTCAAACCCTACTTAATCGATTTTTAAAATTAAAAACTAAATCTTTTTAAATTGAAATTTATATTAAAAAAAACATATTTGAACATTAATAATATTATTGTGGTTGTGAGATGCCAAAGCATTTATTTAAGTTCTTACATATTTTAATTGTAAATTTTCTTCTTTGTAATGCCTTTAATATATTAATAATTGTTTTGTTGGTTTTTTGAGAAAACTGGAAAACGGGGTTTTTTTATATATTTAAGAAAATAAATCTTGTTTGTCGTTTAAAACCAACGAGACACTGACTTACTCATGACAATGTTTTATAGAGATCGAATTTCTCATCAATGTTCACTACTTAATTGTATTTATATGTAATTAAGCATTGATTTATTTTTGGAAAAATACAATAAAGAATAAAGAGTTTGTCTAAAACTATGAAAAAACAAATATGACCAAAATCAGTGATGGAGTTAAGATTTTGTCGCAACGAGCGAAAATTTCAAATATTATCATCCATGGAAAGTTGTTAATAAATCTTTGTATACAAAATAATTTTGTATTTACTTTATAATAAATTAAAATACATTTGATATTCCAGAAGAACAAAATAAAATTAAAAATGGTGATATTGCTTGGACTTAGCCAATTTTGATAAAATAAAATAAAGGGGTGCTAATGCAAAAAACATAGAGTATAAGTGTACACAAAAAAGAGGTAAAAGTTGAAACTAGGGGTGGAAAAAAAAAACTGAAAACCGAACCGAAAAACCGAACCGAAAATCCTGTTTTTTTGGGTTTCGGTTCGGTTATTAAAAAAACAAAAAATCCGGTTCGGTTTTTTTTGAAAAATAAAATCCGGTTACCCAGAACCGGTTTACTAAACCAAAAATTTAAAATTATTTATTTATTTTTACTTTTTACGTTTTTTAGTTTTTACTCTACAGTCTACTCTTGTCACTCTCGTCTACTGTCTAACACTAACACAACTCTACAGTCTACTTTTAAAGTTTACACAACACTCTACAACAGTCACCACTCAACAGAATATAGATCTATACTCAATCTCATTTCTCTGATTCTCAGATTTCTCACCGCCGCACGCCATAGCCGCAACCGCAGCTGCATTCTCTGTCTCTTATTCTCTGTCGGACTCTCACGCCGCACGCCGCAGCCGCATGTTCTGTCTCTCATTCTCTATCCGACTCACCTCACGCCGCACGCCGCCACGCCGCAGCCGCATTCTCTGTCTCTCATTCTCTGTCGGACTCACCTCACGGGTCACTCACCTTAGACTCAAACCTCAGTATTTAGTAAGTCTCCCATCCTCTCTCAGATCTGTGTTTCCGGTGGGTTTTAGATATGGGTTTTCACTTTTCAGATCTGTGTTGTCACTTGTTTATTCATGTTTATTTGCTGCCAAACTGAAGAAATTTATGAATTACTTTTAATATATGATCCCAGCTCATCCGACAGGCGACAGATTAAAGATATACAGGTTCACTCTTTTTCCTTATGAAATCATATTACATAATGATGTCTACTGTGTTCTTGTGTCTGCATGATCGATGCAGCCACCTTATTTGAATTTAGTCTGATTAATAGCCACATATTATATATGAGTTAATGAGTTATGGAGAAAATTTAATTTTCCTTCTTCAGATTGAATCTAAAGTCTATATGGGATTGCTTTTTAAAAGTAATGTCTTCTCCATGTGAAAGTGACATCAAGAAAGCAATGTTGAATGTTGATGATATTTGAAACTTTTTTAATGATGTCTACTGTGTTCTTGTGTCTGCATGATGCAGCCACCTTATTTGAATTTAGTCTGATTAATAGCCATATATTATATATGAGTTATGGAGAAAATATTATTTTCCTTCTTCAGATTGAATCTAAAGTCTATATGGGACGGGTTGTTTTGTTTCTTTCTTATAAAGCAATGTTGCACTCCCATTATCTTCCTTCTTTGTCTTCCTAAAAGTTGCTCAATTTGTTTTGTTTGCTTTGGAATATTCATTTGTTAATGACTCCTGAAGCAGTCTTGTGTTATTTATATGAATATTCATTTGTTAATGACTCCTCTTCGGCGGTACAAGTGAAGTTGCAGAAAGGGAATACGTTACATTACAGTTATCACGACGAACGAAAGTGAAAGCAAGAAGGAGATCTATATAGCAAATCAAGTTTCATTTCTTTTTGAATTTTGAGGTCGCTTATTTACTTATTATGCCATATGAAAATATCTACTTTAATTTTCTGGTTAATAAATAATCTAATTGTCTAAGCAATTTGCACTTTTCTTTGTAGATTATTAACTTTTCCCGAGTCTTAATTTCTAGTGCATTTAATTTGTGAATTCTAGCTTTCAAAATGAAACGGTGCAATCCTATTGAAGGACTGAAAGAGGCATACGAGAAGTTGTCCTCTCCTAGGTAATTTAATTACTTCATTTTTAGTGTAATTGTATTTTATTTTGTTCATTATTTGTATTGATTTTTATGTATAATTAATCGTTTCAGGAATTCAAGTGAGGAAGTCCCAAGTACTACTGATTTAAAGAGGGTTAGTGAGCTTTATTACATATGTAATTTTGTGTACATGTTGAAATAGTTAATGCATATTCCTTTTTTATGCCATTGTATATATCTTCGACTAGTGATAACAACACATCCACTTTTGACACTTCACATGACACTCAAGCACCTACACCAAGACCACCCATACCTTCAGGTCCTAAACGTGCGAAATCTACCACTAGTAGGAAGAATACGTCTGAAATGTGGGATCATTTCACAAAAAATGAGTGTGAGAATAAGGATGATTTGACGGCAACATGTAACTATTGTGGGAATGTTCTTGCTTGTCCAAGTAAAAGTGGTACAATCTGTCTACGTAACCACTTAGGTAGGTGTAAAAAGTTTCCTTTGAATGTGGTGGCATGTGCTTGGAGTTTGACGGTTATTGCTTGCTTGGAGGCCTTTTTTGGAATCTTTTTGTGGATTTGTTATATTTATATTTGCTAGTTTGAAATCTTTTTGTGGATTGGCATGTGTTTGCTAGTTTTAATCATGTGTTTGATTTACATTTCATTTTCGATCCGTAACAAGGTTGCAATCATATGATAAATTTATGCATAACAGCCACTCATTATCTTGGTGAAATTGTAATAATTTGCCAAAATAAATTGTCGAAGATAAGGACAAACAATAATATGCTCAGCGGTGTCTAAATGAGATTATTGAGTGACTTTGAGGCCATAAATTAAGGTTTTCCAACAAGCACTACCTGTATGGCACTTGTATTATTTCCCATGAGATGTAGCTCTTCAATTACTGGAAATGAAGGCTTGATTATTTCAACCTGAATATCAAGAAAAATATGGTATTTCAAAATTGAAGTATATGAATAAAACATGGAAAGAAAAGAGGGAAGGAGAAAATAACCTGCCTGCACCCAATTTATACCAGTATTGTTTAAAACTAAAATGCAGATGCCTTTTAGACTTTTAGTTGTGGCAGTCCAGGGATATTCTTTGACATTATATTGTTAGAAAAATTGATAGCAGTGAGACCTGGTAACCCATAACTGTTCACAGATGGCATGTATCATGTATTTATTTTTGCAATCTTTGATTTGTAATTTTAAATTATTAATATTTGATGTACATTAAAATTATATGAATTCAAATTATTCAATTACAATAAATATAATTTTAATTCAAGTTAAAAAAAAAATTGGAAAAAAAATGGGCCAAAAACCGAATTGGGCCGAAAAATGCAGCCCATAATTCATAATTGGGCCAAAAAATGCAGCCCAATATATAACCGGTTTAAAACCGGTTAACCGAATAGAATTTTCGGTTCAGTTTATAACCGATTTTTAACCGAAACCGGACCGGTTTCGGTTCAATTATTTTTTTGAACCGAAAACCGGTTAACCGGTTTTTTCCACCCCTAGTTGAAACAATATTTTACTTATAAGTTCAATGAAATAAGATAAATTGAATTACCTCACAGTCGGTTTATCGGTGGGAAAATCGACACCGCTGTGAGGAAAATCTGCTTTGGGTAGTAAGATAAAGCTAGATTTAAGCATTTCTCATAAAGAAAACACTATAACTTTTATATGGTATAACTTTTGTATTCTTTTTACTTTATAAAAGTTTGAATTAGAAATTGTGTGCATTTGTTTCCCTATTTTTACCCTATCATATTCTTATCATTTCAAAAATACACATTTGTTGCTCTATTCTAAAAATAGTATTATATTTTATTAAATTTTAAACCCTCTAAATTTGTTAATTTAACTAAACACTCCCAAAAAAGTTTAAAAATTAATAAAAACACCCCCACCCATTAATCAAAGACTGTGATGATGAAGGCTATTGTGTTGAAGATGATAATAATGGTGGTTTTAATTGTTGGTACATTGATTGAAACAAGTGAAGCTGGAATTCCATTTTGTTGTAGGTATAATCCAGAATGTTGTGAAGATGATAATAATGGTGGTTTTAATTGTTGGTACATTGATTGAAACAAGTAAAGCTGGAATTCCATTTTGTTGTAGGTATAATCCAGAATGTTGTGAGGAGGCCTTATCTCATTCCAATGTCAAATACTCAAATTCCCTACTAATAGTTAGTTAACTTCATGTTATGTAATTTCATATTGTTAATGCTTGTATGTATGTATAATGGTTGTGAGGAAACTCTTACAACTATATAATATTTGATGTTACACCACATTAAATGTAAATATAATAAGTGGAGAAATCTTTTTATTTACTCAATATATATAATCTCTTCTTCTTTTTCTTATATATATTAACATTCATATTATGTATAATATCACCCATTTTACATTGTTACTCAATATATATATAATCTCTTCCTTGAAAGGGATTTGAGAAGGAAAAATTGATTAAGGATGTTTTGTAATAGATAAGGGATTTATCTTGACATTATTGACAATTGCTTTAAAAATAATAATAATAATGTCGTAGTTACAAACTTCTCATTCAAACTGATGTAGCAACCTTGTATGTTTATCATATAATTTCTTTTAATTATTTAATTCATTTTTAATTTAAAATCATCCAATCATTTTTTATTACATCAACTTGTATGAAAAAATTTAGATAAAAAGTTTATAAATATAGTATTATTCTTTCTGTATTGATCACCAATAATTGAGATATGGGTACCACAGTATATAATAGAAGTGGGGGGTTATTTTAAATTTAGATAAAAAGTTTATAAGTATAGTAATGTATTGATCACCAATAATTGAGACATGGGTACTACAGTATATAATAGAAGTGGGGGGTTATTTTTTAGAGCATTTCTTGCATGGGGAATGAAGACGAAGAAGAAGACTGAAGAAGAAGAAGAGCGCAGATTTTCTCGAAGTGACTTTTTTGGTAGTGGTAGTAAGTTAAACATGAATAAAGAAATTAGGCATAATTATTTAAATATATAATTATATACGTCACCAATAAAGCTACGGACACCAAAAATTTTGCATTGAAAATGTATACCGGCCTACGTGTACGCGTGACTCACACCAGCAGTCAGAAGCCTGATTTTTTTATAAATATTTTTCTAGTGAACGCCCGTCCATGGCATATGGACGACCGTTCACTCACATGGACTCCCGTTTATATTATATGGACGGGGTCCATATGCCATGGATGGGTGCCCCCATTTAAAGGATGCCTATCCATAATTAAAATACAATAAAAAAATTTTATAAACATTAGGGACGGCCGTTCATCCGTTATGGATGGTTGTTCCTTTATTTTGGACGGGGGCCCGCAAATAAGGGACGCATGTCCTTAACCAAAATATGAAAAAAAAAAAAAAAAAAAAAACTTTGGGGATGGTCATCCAAACCCTTACGTTGGTCCATTATTTTGGTTTTTATACAGTGAGTGCGAGAAACCATGCATGCGAGGCTAAATTGTATGATATTCAGACGACGGTGCCTTTGAAAGAGCAGCATAAACTGTAATATCGTCCTTTGAAGCTTGGTACCTAATACTAGCAACACAGCAAAATGCTTAAAATTCTTCAGGCGAAAGTAACCATCATTACCATCACTACTCTTGGGAGCACACAGACAAATATACGGCAAAATAGAACTCACCCAGTAATATAACTACGAGTCAGAAGGTACTCATCAAGTTTCTTTAAACCAGAGGCTGAGTTAAGATCACCGAACACGACTGCCATCTCCAGCAACTGAGGTTTTTTCTGGAACTACAATCATAGAAATCAAAACTTAAGCATCCATTTCCTTTACTCGAACCATAAATTTTGAGAAACTAAAACTTATAGCAACATTAAGCTATCTCCAACAGAAACTATCATTTTTAGTTGCTTTAAACACTGAAAACTTAGAAAAATTAACCCCCAAAAAAAAACTTTTTAATCTGTAAAATTAATAAAGTGGTACAGAAGATCATAAGAGCTCCAATCGCTTTGATAACAAATAAACATACAGCAACCTTAACCAGAGGATAAATTATTATTCGAACAAATCTTCTGATAACAAATAAACATACAACAACCTTGATTTTTCATGCAAGTAAAACTAAACCATTGATTAACCGTACTCAAAAGCGCATTCATGAGACGGACTCCAGTCCATAAATATCCATGAATATCTTCAACTTCCCCAATTAGCTCTCTCACTTCATTAATCATTCATTTCTTCTCCNAAAAAAAAAATCTCTAAGAACCCTAAGTCTCTCTCTTGGCCAAATTTCTTCTTCCCTTGGTGTGGATACTCTTTTGCTTAATTTCTCTTGAAATTAAGAGTCTCCAAGGTTGCTAAGGACTTAAGGTAACATGTTCTACCTTACTTATTTCAATTTGATTGAATTTTTTTTTTAAACTATGACTATACTTGTTATAGCATGATATGCTTGATTCTCCATGCATCCATCTTTTAGTATGTATAAATCTTTAACCAAAAAAATAAAAATAAAAAAAAATAAAACCTCGTCTGGTTCTGGGTACACTACACAACAAAGTATCGAATTTGAAGAGAATAAAGTGAAGGAGAGTAGCAAACTAATGAGACCTCTCGATAGTTTCTTTTAGTTTTTACCCCAAGTTCAACGCCAAATGCCAAAGGAAAAGGAACCCAATACAAATACAAAGCTTTGAGTTGAGCCTAAACATGTTTAATGGACAATAAAAATGAAAACTTTCGTTTACTTAATATTACTACTTCTTACCCACCCACACCCCACTCTGGATCCATGGGAAATGGAGTAAACACTAAAAAGCGACCGAGAAAGGAAAAGAAAAGGTTTTTGCTACTTAAAATATCAAAATTCACCATTTTTATATGTGCTCTTTATGGAAAAACAAGGAGCAGGAAGTGTTTTGCTGAAGAAAAGGCGACATGGAAAAACAAGGAGCAGGAAGTCTTGGCAGACTGCTCGTTCTTTCTTGAAGATGAAGACGCAGTAGTGGCTGCTGTAACGGCTGCTATGGCAGCAGCCACTGCAGCCACTGAAACAGCAGCGTGGAGCTGCGCATTCTGGGCTCTGCTTTCTTCTTTCTTCTTCTCCTGAAACGTGCTTGAAACAGTTCAACCTTCAAAATAAGTACAACCTAAGAGAAAATGGATCCGTCAGCACTATTCGCCGACTAGGCATGAAACAAAATGCAACTGCAGCTATCATTTCAAACAACAAAGAAACTTCTATATCCAAAGAGACTTGGAGCTACTAATCAAAGGTGTGATTGAATATCATTTCCTGTGACAATAAGAACACATCACTCTTTCATTAGTTTAAAGGCATAAGTGGTGCACATGTAAATAGAAATCCAGTGATACATTTGATTCCTCTAAAAAATAGTTGCACTGATTCAAGCAGTCATCAACTAACAACACCATAAATCTAGCCAGCTTACCTGTACATTCAACAGAAAGTACAGGTATCATGGTAATACAGTTCTAATGTTGTCTACTTCTCAGGTAAAAGACTCCTCATGCAGTGTGCATGAATTTTACTGGAGTAGAAACGTGCTTTTCAGGAGAAGAAGAAAGAAGAAGAAGAGGTTTAGAATATATATATTTTTTTAAAAAGTACGGACGGGCTCCCGTCCAAATGTAAGGGACGCCAGTCCAAACGTAACGAACAGCTATCCAAAATTTATGAACGGCCGTCTCCAAAGTTTTTTTTATTTTTTTTATTTTCATATTTTGGTTAAGGACGGGCGTCCCTTATTTGCGGGCGCCTGTCCAAAATAAAGAGATGGCCGTCCATAACGGATGAACGGCCGTCCCTAATGTTTAAAAAATTTTTTTATTGTATTTTAATTATGGACGGGCATCCTTTAAATGGGGGCGCCCGTCCATGGCATATGGTATATGGGAGTCCATGTGAGTGAATGGCTGTCTATATGCCATGGACGGGCGTTCATTAGAAAAATATTTATAAAAAAATCAGGCGTCTGATTGCTGGTGTGAGTCACGCGTACACGTAGGCCGTACACATTTTCGGTGTAAAATTTTCGGTGTCCGTAGCTTTATTGTATACGTCACATCGCCTGCTTTATTTTCCCATCAATTATTGGTTAAAACATGGACTCGACAACTACCTCTCACATTAGTCAATTTTTTCACGTAATATAATAGTTTATGTAATCTTTCAAATCTTCACATTTCAAATATACTCTCCCCTTTTATGATAATAGTGGTTTTAGGTTGATGCACAACTTTTACTGAAGTAATTTTTTCTCCCTCGCTCTATCTCTTCCTGACTCCCTCAGAAAATACGGGTGGAAAATATTTGGTTTTCCGCTATCTATAAGTTTGAAAGTGTTCTATTCTTCTATCTCTATTTTTTGGTTACTCATCATGGTTGAACAATGTCATAGTAGAAGTGTGCTTGGGGATCGATTTGAATATTTTTCCAACTTTAGAAGCTACGAATGAAGTTGATGACATAGCTAAGGAAGTTAATATGCACGTGAGTCGGAAAAACCTCACAAATGAATAAAGACAAACTATTTTACAAATAGGTTCCACACAAGAGTAATCCTTCTTAGACTCAGTTTAGGAGATATGAAGAGTTAAATGGTGTCTGAAAGAGAAAGAAAGAGAGTAGATGTGAAGAGTTTAATAGCGTTTGAAAGAGAAAGAGAGAAGATAGAGGGGCCACAAAGAGAGGAGACAAGTGTCAGAGAAAAAGTGAATAACTTTTTAGTCAAACGCCTTTTAAAAAAAATAATAAGTTTAGAATGATTATTAATATGAAATGGAGGGAAGAATAATTTTGTTATTGTATGGACAAAAAAATCTTACTAGATTTTGTCAGACCCACTAAAAAAACAAACACTATATACGAACCAATGCCATATCCCAATTTCGATTGAACCAAAAATAGTTTATAAACTCTTCTTCTACGGGAGCTTTCAGCTTTTTTCTCCATAGAAATTTCCATACATGAATGGAAACTATAACAGCCAATGACTGCATCACTCAGCGCTTAATTAAGTCGCAGGCATATTTATACATTGCTCTACAAATTTTTTAATAATCTTTTATAAATTAAAAATTTTGATTTAAAAAGGTGTTGATTGGTTAACATTATGTTCAATCACATCAACCCTATATTAGCCTTTACTTGGCATCCATCACGCTATTGACCACTTTTAATGCCATTAAATCATAGTAATTCAGACATGGAAACAATAGCAAGCTATATATATTTTTTCATATAACACAGATTTGGAAGGTTTTATTTTTAAAACTTCTAGGACTTTTTAAACGTCAACCCCGAGCCATTAAAGTTTTAAACTTTTCATTTTCACTCTCAAAATCTTCGTCGTTGTCTAGTTCTTCTTTTTCTTCGAGTTGGCTACTTCGAATTCCTTCATTTCTTACATTTTTTTTTTTTTAAACTACGTCATTTTGTCTCTGTAACTGTCGGCGGCCAGGGAATATCGATCTTCAGACTTCGTTTTTTTCACTCGTTTTCATAATATGTGGTAAAACTCTTTAAAGAAGCTAGTTTGCCAAAGTAACAGATTAATGATGTCAACTTGGAGTAAAATTAAAATGGTCAGCATAATTGAACATAAATATTGTTGAGAGTAGGTAGTGCGGCACAAACTTTCCAGGAATTGTAAAATAATGGAGCTGGACTTGTATTTTGTAGTTGCAAAACAAAAATAAAATAAAATTAATACCTTCTTACACCTGCTGATCATGGCATCTGTGTGGTTGTTAAATACTAAATGGTTATAATAGTTAGTTTGAGAGGACGGTTCGCATGGAGATGGTGGGGTCTCCACACACCGAGAGGCTGACCTAAACTAATAGTAATTTACAGCTCCCACCTAAACTAACACACACAAACGGGGTGAATACTCAAACTACAGTCTACAGGTACGTCATTCTCTTTCTCTTTTCTTATATGTAATTTTGTTCATATGTCTGCACTATTTCAAACACTCCTCTCTGAAACAGTGAGAGACTCTCTGAAACAGTGAGAGAAAAGACATTCAAGTTCGATAGAGCCTCAATTGTGGAGATGCTATTGAGTACATCAAAGAGCTTCATAGAATGGTTAACGAGCTCAATACACATACCTAAAACTGATAAAACAAAAAACAAATCTAATTGTGGCACCTTGATTAGTGAAAGTTTCAACAATTTAAGTTTTTAAAAGTTTTAAGAACGAATAACATAGAGAAAGTGAAAGAAAGTATGAGAGAGTAAATAATTTTAGGGATAAAATCATAAAAAATAGATGGACGTAGAAAAGAGTGGAGAGAGTTTTAGGGTGCGTTTGGCTTATTATTTCATACCCTATTCTCAATCCTATTCCCAAAATATTTGTTTGTTTAATTATTTAGGAAATACTATTATATTTCTTTAATTTTATTAATTTCATTAAATACCCCCAGAAAAAAGTTTAAAAATTAATAAAAACACCCCCACCCATCCATAATTGCCAGATTCCGGCAACCACCGTCGGTGATAGCCGGAATCTGTCACAACGGCCTACAAACGACCGAAACATGTTGGTAATTCACCGATCTCGCCTTTTCTGGCCAAATTGACGGCCATATCTTTGATCTGGCTTTTTGCGGCCGTTGACGGCTAGATCTGGCCTTTTCGGGCCAGATCTGGTCAGAAAAGGCCAAATCGACGAACATCTGGCCAGATCCGACCAGTATGCGTCGTAATGCTAGATTCCGACCAGATTCTGACGGTGGTGGCCAGAATCTGGCACTATGGGTGGGTGGGGGTATTTTTGTCATTTTACAAAATTTTTATATATTGGGGAGTTTAGTTAAATTACCAAACCTATGAGGTTTTTTTGTTAATTTTTAAATTTTACCTCGTAATAATCATCCTATTCAACTATCCAATATTATTTCCAAAATCATATCTAAAATAACAAACAAAATGCACCCTTAAACTTTTAATATGATGAAGGCGTAGAATATATATATTAATAGCAAGTTTTTTATGAGTCTAGATATATGTATAATATTTCTCATTTTTTTTTTTAAATTTGAAGGTAAGTTTGGATACATATATATATATATTAATAAAAAAAATTTATGAGACCTATATAAACAATTTTTTTTTTTTTAAATGTGAGGGTAGGCCTGGGCCTACCCGCTAAGGGGCTGGGTCCGCCCTTGCGTCCCTGTAGGGAAAATTGCTAGCTCTACCTT